GGGGGCCAAACTCACATTTATAACAAATCTATTCTTGACATAACTAACAGTAATGATATTAATCCATGACCTCCATTAATTCATTAATCCTCTGCTCTCATGACCTATTCACCTCTTATTAGTCTCCACCTCCTAACATCATTGCATTGGGGATTAAGTCTTCAACACATGAACTCTGGAGGCTACATTAAAATCATAGCAATTTCTATTCCAACTACTCAGCTCTGCTGTTGCACCATAAAAGTAGTCATAAACAATATGTAAATGAGTATATATGGCTGTGTTTCAATAAAGCTTTATTTATAAAGACAGGCTATGGATCAGATTTGGTACATGGGTCATAGTTTGCCAACCTTTGCTAGAATATTATCTCCATATGTGCAGAGAATATTGTCTGTTTTATTAACTGTTGAATCACAACAAAAGCTAGAATAGTGGATAACCCTTGGTATATGTGTTATAAATACCTGTTACCTGAATGAATTAATTTAATCCCCTGAACAAGCAATGAGTTAGATATTATTATCACTGACAAATGAATACTACACTAAGAGGAAATGATATAACATATCAAGAAGTGAAAGAATCAGTATTTAAGGACAGGCCTGTCTACTTCAAAGTTCTGAGTGCTTTCACTATATTTAACTAATAAGAAAAAAGCATTACTGAATAATTGAAAAAGCTTCACACTATTATATACATATTTTCTACCTGCCCTTTTTCCTTCCTCATGGTATGCACTTTCTTGAGCATTAGGTCCAAATAAAGAATATGCTAACCAATATACTAAACCACTATGTTAAAACTATATCTAGATGTAAAATCTTCATCTGATGGCAATCTACAAATACATACATACATATATATATATGCATGCTTAATACTGGACTATACAATTGATGCAACTAAATTGATTGAATCTTTTTTTTTTTTGGTACCGGGGATTGAACTCGAATCCTTGTGCTTTCGAGGCAGGCGGCAGAACCACTGAGCTAAATCCCCAGCCCAATTGATTGAATCTTGAACACAGAGTACTTAATTAGGAAGACTAGAGATGAGCTTTTCAAAAACAGATATCATGTATAGAGGACCCAATCAATTTTATGTACTCAGATATGTAGCATACATGAGAACAACATTAATTTGTATTTAATCTTTTCAAATGCACAAAGAAAGAAAAATGTGAGGGAAAAACAAACATCAAAAATGTCCTATTTTCCTTTGCCTTAGGAACGCCTCATTTCAATACTCTCTGCATGTAAGGCAAGGGCCCTTGTCTCCAGCACCACTCATGCACAACAGTCTGTCCATTGGCTGCTATTTCATGCTTTCAATAACCAGATTCCATAGCTGATCATAAGCATCTGCTTCCCTTCATAAGTCAATAATTCATGCTAGCTGTTTCCCAAAAACAGGCATTAGGAAGGCACGAGGGCAGATCTGAGAGCTGATTCTGTGGCCTGTATGTTGTTTCATCTTTTCTTAGCTTGTCTGGGGTTTTACCATCCTCCCAGTAAGCACAGAACTTGTAGGAGTGAACTACTATTTTGCCAAATTTTTTCTTTTTGGATGCTTAGGACAAAATTGTTTAAAAATATCCAACCACATGGGATCAATGCTGCATACTAAGAAGCTATTAAAGTAAGACAAACAGTACCCAAACTGTTTCTTTGTCTTATGGCTTAATGTTTATTATAATCTGACACTGTAAGACTGATGGTGATGCCAAGATGCTGAGAACTCAGGGCTTATGCAACCACTGAAATATTATTAAACTTAGTGAAAGATAAAAGTAAATGAAAAATGATATAATAAAGCTAAACTTTTCAGCTTCTTGACTGTCAGGTCTTGCAAAAAACTGTATCTAAATTTTATAAATCAACATAAATCTTTTGGACAGATAAAAGATTGCCTACTGACTCTACATAAGGATGGTAGGATGTATCTATCTATTACTAAAAAAAGCAAGAAATGTATCCTCAAAGAGAACTCAGGATAAACAAGTTACACTGGCTCCTATAAAATTATCTTGCTTGTACCAGTGTATTTTTAACCAAATACTCCCTTTTTAAAATGTTAAGTGATAAAGTGTTAAAGAAAATGAATAGCCACTATTTGTGGAGTGCTTCAGTGTTCACTTTCATTTTCTTCTCATTTAATCCTAAAAAAATAAAACTCCAGATTATACAATTTTTAAGGCGTAGAGTTGAGATTGAAACCTCATGGTCTTGACTCTGAAAGCTGTCCTGAATGAATCCTAAAGAATGAAATTATACACTATGAATCACACACAAAAAGTCGAGAAGTGATTATTAGTTACTGTAAGAACAACAACAGCAACAACAACAAAATGTTGACCAGAAATGATACTACCAACTTCCATTACCAAAAGAATGGAACCAGAATGAAAAACACTTTTTATTCTTTGATGTTACTCCATGATGTCCCAGAATTCTGCACCATCATACCACTAGGTCCACTCCTTTGGAAACTCATGAGTTCCAAAGTATACTAATTCAGAGAAACAGACATTTATAGCCCTATTGCTTCTCCCCAGGGACTAAGGCTATTCCTTTCTTTGTCAGGTGTCCCCAACTACTTCTTCATTTATATATTTATATACCCATTTATTTACCACACACTATGTGTGGAGCTCTGTAATTGATACTTCGTGTTTTTCCTCATATATAAAGCACATGTAATTATATCATTTCCATTTTATAGATAAGGAAAAGCCAGTAATAGCTCACGTTACACCACTAGGAAGTGATTTAAAAAACACACATGTGAAAAAAGAAAATTTAGCTCCTAGCCAAAATAAGATCAAAATCATGGACTATTGTAAAAATCATGTCTACTATTATTTCCATGCATGTAATCAGAAAGCAACAGCCTGAAATGTAGTAGATAACACTCATGTACTAACTTATTGATCACAGTCCTTTTTTTCAAAGCTGATTCTAACAGGTTTCTTCCTTGATTTAGGTCATCATTAATTAAAAGCCGTCTGTATTTCAGAAGTACGTTTAATCATCACAGGTTTTGTATTTATGACAGAAGACAACGTGACTGATTTAGGAGTTATGTGACCACTTAAAAGAAGGTTTCATGATCTATATGTCCTTCCTTACACCAACACTGCCTTGATTACTGTAGCTTTAGAAGAAGTCTTAAAATTAGGTACTGAACATCTTCCAACACTTGTTTTTGTTTCTTTGTTTTTTTATTTTTTTTAACTTTTCTAGGTCCTTTGTACTCCTACATAACTTTTAAATTTCAATATCCAATTCTTCATTTATAGCAAGTATACACAGACC